AAGAAAGGTTCTAGGTGGAGAGAAGATGGTGCAAAGGCCCTGAGGCAAGAAAGACCTTGGCATGCTCAGGACCAGCCAGGAGGGCTTTGTTGCTGGAGCAGGAAGTTATAGATGAGGTGATAGAGCTGTGCTGAGACCTGAGGGACCTCGGGAGGCTGGATTTTATCCTTGGGAGCCAGAAGGAGGGTCAAGCACAGCAGTAATGAAATCTGCTCTGCTGGGAAGACATTGCTATTACTGTCCTCATTTTATAGCTGAGGAAACTGAGGCCCAGAACCATAGCCTGACATGTTTGCAAAGCTGGCTTCTCCTGGAGCCCATGCAAGGTTGCTGTGGCTCTTATAGAATTTCCTGTTCTGTCTTTTACCTTTCTCATTCCCAGATCCAGCCTTGGTTCAAGTCCTAGATCTGCCATTTGCTGGTTGTGTGACTTCAGACAAGTGGCCTCACTTCTCCAAGGCCTCAGTTTTCTCATTTGTAAAATGGACATAATAGCACTATCTCCCTCATAGACCAGGTATAAGAAAGAAACCAGCTAACATAATAAGAGCTTAGAACTGGGCGTGGCATTGCACACCCATAATGCCAGCACTTGGATGGAAGACTAAGGCAGGAGGATGCAGAGTCAAGGCCTGCCAGAACTATGTTGAAAAACCCTGTCTCAAAACAGAAACAGACACAACAATGGTAATTAAAAAAAAAAAAAAAAAAAAAAATGCACAAAAAGCGCCTTTTCCAAAAAAAGAGGAAAAAGACAAGTTCTCACACACCCCCCAATTCGAGGAAGGAATAAAAAAAAAAAAAAAAAAAAAAAGGCTCACACAGTGCCTGTTGCCAAGGAAGAAGGAAATGTGCAGTTGTGCCCCCTACCCCCATTTCATCTTGACAAGTGCTTCTGTCTCTGAGGATCCATGATTAGTGCTGGAGGGCTGCTCCCTCCAGTCCCTTTGTCATCCCATCCAGGGCCAGGCAGTGAGCTGACAGGCCCTAGTGGGGGCCTGGCTCTCCTCTAATACCCAGGACTAGAGGGGCTTCTGTGCCCTGGAGGAAGGAAAGCTGACAGGAGCCACTTGTGGTCTCCTCCTGCCCCCACCCGAGTCCTCCTCCAGTTTCCAGGCACAGGAGGGGAACAGGTTTCTTCTGTCTTTCCCAGGACTCAAGGGTGAGGCCAGGTGGGCATTTACTTCCCTGGACCTTGTGATTGTATGGGAGGTGATATAGAAGACTTGGGCCTTGGGCTGGTGGAGGGAACAGAGGAGCCCTCCCAGGGACACCCTCCTCGCCCCCAACATGCACCCCAGAACTGCAGTGTCTGTGAAACCAAGCTTCCAGAGTGCTTCCCTCCAAGTGGTCCTGTGGTCCAAAGGTTAAATGGGCCAGCCCCTGGCACATCACACTAAATGTCCCTCCTGACCTTTCCAGCTGGCACAGAGCTGGTGTGGGCACTAAGGTGCAGTGGGCTACCTGGAGCCCTGAGTGGCTCACCGCGGTCTGTCCAGGTTCATGGAAACCTGGACCAGCCACCTGCTCAGGGGTCTACAGGAAAAAACAGTGCCATTGAGGCGTGGTGGGAGGGAAAGTACCCAGGTAGACTCCCCAGGTGACTTTGGGCAACTGACTCAGCCTGGTCTGGCCCGGGGTTTCCATTAGTCAACTTGGGATGACAGTGGAGTTGCCTCAGAAGCCTACCCTAACCACACTGATTCCCATTGCGTCTCACTTAAACTCCGGGGGGTTAAGTGTCGGGAAGAGCACTTTCCTGCGCCTGGCGGTGAAGGTCCCGATCTCTGAGGGTGGCTGCTTGGATCTCCCAGCTCTATGCGCTAGATGGGCTGCGGGGACAGCCTGGCTGGGTGAGCCTGGAGGGCGATCGGGTCACTTGCCACACCCGGCCACCAATCTTGGCTTTGCAGTCACTGCCTGGCTCTCCTTCCCTCTGCTGGGCCGGCGGGTTCGCCTGTCGGGCCGCCGGAAGTTGCGCAAACGCGGGCTACCTGAGCCAGGTGGGCGTGAGGAGCAGCGGCAGCAGCTCCCACAGCCAGGTACGTGCCCGAAGCCGGGCCGCATGGATTGGGGGGCACAGTGGCCTGCAGCCCCGGCGGTGAGACATACAATTCCAGCCAGAGAGGACAGCGCATCGGGAGGGTCACACCGCCGCGACCCAAGTTCCCTAAATTGCCTCCAAGCTAGGAAGGGCCGAGACCGAATCGAGGACTTCCTGGCCTGTCACCCACACCGTGGGAACCTGTGGGGAGGGACGAGGTCTGACCACGACCGGGAATGGTGACCAGAGGGGATGGTACATTTGGGGGCATTCGTGGCAGCATTTCAAAGTCCATGGGTGCGAAGAGACCCCAGGGGGACATTAAATATTGCCTGGCGACTGGGATGGTGCTGCCCCTTGCAGGGGCATCTGTGACGTGGGTGGGTGCAGGTCCGTTTGCTCATCGTGATCAGCCCCTTCCAAATGCCTCCTTTGTCCCCGCTGGGGCTCAGACCGGCCTTTCTGCAGTGGGCTAAGAGACCGCGCTCGCTGCATGGGGCAGGTCTTTGCACTCCAGGGTCAGAGCCCTAACATACAGCAGCGAGCCTGGTTCATCCAGAGCGGCCCATTCTCCAGGTACTGCGAACCTATTTTATCTTTCCACAGAGCTAACCCGAAGGCGCATGGAGGTCTATTTTTAACTGCATTTCACAGATAGGGAAACTGAATCTGTTAAGAGCTGCCTCTTGCACAAGGTGCAGTGCAGGGTAGAGTGGGAGAGCTGGAGACCCTGCTGGCTGTCAAACCAGGCTTGGTGACTTGCATCTGTCCCAACTGCTCCCATCAAGTGGACCCTAGGGCCAGCAGGCTCAGCCAGAGGTGGTGGGTATAAGAGCTGGGGGTGGGGGTGGGGTGGCTTCTGCCCTGGCCCTGCCCCTCTGACCTCCTTCCTCTTTCTGAGATGGTGCCTGGGAAGGAACCACCTCCGCCACCACCAACTAGTTGGACTGGTTTGGGTGGCAGGGCAGATGTGGGGTTATGGGGGTGGGGCAGAATCTGGCTACCTGGATAGAGCTCTAGAGCAGCTGTTCTGGTCAGATCTTTCCTGCCGAGGGTCATCTGGGGGTCCACTTGAGGGGGGCCAGCCTTCCTGTTCCATTTACCAGGTCTTTGCACTTTGGGAGCTGCTCTAGTTCTGGTCAGTAGCCCTCCAGCCCTATTCCCTGCCGTGCTGAGGTCTCAAGCTGGGGCAGATGGTGCAGACATGCTATGCTTGCCCAGTACAGGCAGTAGTTTTTCAGCGATCACTGAATTTGCTCAGGGTTAAGAACCTTAGAGAGTGCCTGCCTCTGGATTACCTGCCTCCGGGAACCTCCACTTCCCACCTTGGACCCACTTGTCTGTAGTGGGCAGGCCTTCTCTAGTTCATTGGTGTGTTGGTTCACAGCCTACTCCTGGAGGCATTTCAGCTCAGTACACACTTGTGAAATACCTACCATTTTCTGAGAGCATTGCCATGAAGCTGAGACCCAGTAAACAAAGCAGCCCAAACCTCTGCCTTCATGGAGGGTCAGGGAGTTGAGGACAACAAAGAAATGAATCAATCATATCCACAGTGAGTTATGTGATACTTATGACTATGATAAGGAGAAAAGAAACAGGGGAGTGTATGGGGAGAAATGGGTGCAGTGGGGGCTAGTGTACTCAGGATTGGCTTCTTAGGGATGTGCTCTTTTATCTCCTCTGGGACTTAGGGAAGTTGCTTCTCAGAGTCTTGGTTTATCCATCTACAAAGTGGGGATAGTGGCTCCCAGGCTGTTGGGGATGGTACAGGAGAGGGTAGCTTTGAGTGTCTGGTACATACTGGGAACCCTGTTCTTCATAGGGACTCCCTGTCTTGGATGTCTAGGCCAGGGATTTCCTGTGGGTGGACATGCTCTGTTTGAGTGCTGCCTGGTGCAGTGACCACCTGCCACATACAACCATGGAGAATGTGAAGTGTGGTGAGTGTGGTTCAGGAGCTAGTGGGGGGCCAATGGCTGCCGAGTCAAACAGCAAAGGTGTGGGTGGCCTGAACTGCAAGTCCCCTTGTAGATCCCTCAGACTAAGTCCCTTCCCCCTTCTCTTTACAAACAAGAAGGTTTTTCTGCAGCAGCATCTCTGAGGGGCCTGGGTGGTAGGGGATAATGTGCCCACACTCTCTGACCCTGGATCTTCCTTGGAAACTGAGATATAGGCTTGGCTTGATGCCTGGGCTGGTCTGACATCTGACTCTTGGGCAACCACTTACACACTCAGGCATGGGCCCTGTAGCCTGTGAGCACATCATGGCTGCTGGCTGGGGTCTGCAGCATAGCTCTGGAAGGGCTGTGACCTGGTTTTTCTTGCTGTAGCATAGCTTGGGGCTGATGCTTACCCCAGACAGGCATGCATGGATCCCTATGGGCTTGACCTTGGAGCTATATCATGGAAGCTGTGGGATGGGGGTGGGGACCTTCTGCCCCTCTCTTACAGTCTCTGCTCCTGTGCCCCTGGAAGGCCTGGCATGTCCAGGCAGGTGGTTGGCACTGAGCAGCTTCCTGCCTGGGTGGGTGAGGGGTGGTATCTGGCTCCTCTGGACCCCTTTCTCTTGGTCACTCAATCTCAACAGCCCTGTTGTCAGTACCCCCTTGCTTGGGAGTGAGGGGTGGGAGATGCATTGCCTCCCCGGCTTCAGTTCCCCTATCTGCAGATGGAACTGTTGAGCGGAGGACGCCGAGGTTGAGCCTGCCTTGCGGGTACCGCGGGCCTGCCTTCTCTACCTTTTTCCTCTTGGCCTCAGCCGTGCCAGGTTCCCAACGCCCACCCCCTCCCACCCCAAGGGGTGTGGGTGGGGCCACAGGATCCTGTAGTTGTATTCTTCCCGCTGATTGGCTCTCTTTAGGATGGGGCGTGGCCTCTATAATGTGGCAGGCCTCGCTCCCCGGCAGAGCCTTTGTCTGAGTGTGCTCAGCCCATTCTCTCTCCTTCCTTGCAGTAGAGCCCGGCGCCCAGCTGCCAACTTTGTGCTAGGATCTGTCTCCTCGCTTCTGCCCTCGGGGTATGTAACGGCCATGCCTGTGGACACGCTGAGCCCCCGCGCCCCCGCCACCGCCGCGCTACCTTTCCGCCTGCGGACCAAGGTTCCCGGCTACCTGCTGCCCAGGCCAGCCGATGGGGGAGCCAGGAAACTGAGTGCCGTGGAACGCCTGGAGGCTGACAAGGCCAAGTACGTCAAGAGCCTTCATGTGGCCACCACCCGCCAGGAGCCCGTGCAGCCTCCACTGGCCAGACAGCCCCTCTTTAGCCCTGGGACTCGCGGCCCAGTGCTCACACCCAGCCGCCGAGCCCTGCCCTGCCCCGGCCGCCGACCCCAGCTGGACCTCGACATCCTTAGCAGCCTCATCAACTTGTGTGATAGTCCAGCATCCCCTGCAGAGGCCAGCCGAACCTCCGGACCGGCAGAGGGATCTACCCACCAGGCCCCGCCGGCCACCCCTCCTCGCCCTCCACCCAGTACGGCTGCGGTGCGCCGAGTGGACGTTCGCCCCTTGCCTGCCTCACCTGCGCGGCCCTGCCCATTCCCAGGCACCACTGCCGCCTCCAGCCCCGGCCGGCCACCTGGTCTGCAACGCTCCAAGTCGGACCTGAGCGAGCGCTTTTCCAGGGCAGCAGCGGACCTCGAGCGCTTCTTTAACTTCTGTGGCCTGGATCCAGAGGAGGCACGAGGATTAGGGGTGGCCCACTTGGCACGGGCCAGCTCGGACATCGTGTCTCTAGCTGGGCCGAGTGCTGGACCGGGAAGCTCTGAAGGGGGCTGCTCCCGTCGCAGCTCGGCTACGGTGGAGGAGAGGACCCGGGAGCGTGTCCCCTATGGGGTGTCTGTGATTGAGCGCAATGCCAGGGTCATCAAGTGGCTATATGGGTTGCGCCAGGCACGGGAGCCTGCTCGGGCCACTGAGAGCTAAACCTCTTGGACTTAGACCTCCCAGCAGGACAAAGTGGACAGGCAATTGGTGCCTTGACCTCTTCTGGCCCATTCTTCACTTCTGGGCAGACAGGAGTCAGCTCCCTTGGGTGAACTTGGTGTAGAGGCCAAGGCTTAGACCTAGACCAGCGCCCTCTGACAAGCAAATTCTGACCCTGCAGAGGTTTGCTCTTGAACTTGGCCTCCCCTTCCCCCCAAAACAAGGTTTGTGACATGAGTGCCCATGCTTGATTCCTCTGGTGAGGCTGAATTTGGGGTGCTTACCGTCTCCACTGAGCTAGGAGCTAAGTGCCAAGTCTGTCTGCCCTAAGGCTCTGTTTCCTCCCTCTTTCCTTCTCTGTCCTCCTCTGTTGACTTCCTCCTCCTTACTGAGCAGGTCCTGGCTTCCTGGGAACTCACCCTGAGGGGAGCGTTGGGAGGATTTTGCCTATCTATTGCTCTTCCTGGTCTTTGGCAACTGACCTAGATGGGTAGACTATAGGAGGGACTGGTTAGGAGTCTGCTACTCTGACTTCCTTTTGGTTAATAAATGTTTGTTTCTCAAGGGCTGGTCCTTCAGACTTCTCTGTTCACAGGGGAAAGGGTGGGAGAAGGCTTGGGCTATGGCCTTCAAAACTTAGTAATTGTTGACCCCTGGATCTGGTGGGCAGGTCAGTGATGGGTTCTGCCTGAGATTTGCCCTGAAGGGTGTCCTCACAACTCCCCTGGAAGCCCTGGCTCCCTCATGGGTGAGGAGAGGGCTAGCCAATGAGTGGGGCTAGAGCTGGGAGTGGGTTCTTTCCCCTATATCAGGAATGGAGCTGTAGGGGAAGGCAAGCAGGGGGCATAGAGCCTCCTCAGCCTGGTATCCTCCATCCTTCCTCAGACCTGCTGACTTCCCAAGGGGTCAGGAAGCTTGTGGTCACCAAACCACAGAGTAGGGGTGGGAAGTGGGAGTTGTTGGAGGAATAGGGACTTGTGGAGAGCAGTCCAGGGTGGTGGCCTTGCCTGTAACCCTGGGTGACCCCTGGACAGGCCACTCTTGCTTCTGGGCCTCTGTAGAGAGCTGGGTGGCACAGGCTTCCTTGTGCTGGGACCTTGAATTCTGGGCCCTTTGAGCTAAGCTGCATTACAGTGCCTGGGCCCTGTGGAATCGCTGATAGTGGGTGTCTAGTCTCCCAGGTTAGTTCCCCCTACCCCATGCTGGAGCAGCCAGTACTCCCTGGGTGCACAAAGGGCTACGGGGGAGGGGTGGCCCATCTGCCCCCCAGAGTTGGGTGGTGTTTCCTCCCTGCAGGCTGCAGCCCTTAGAAACAGGAAGCACTAAGGGAGGCCCTGCTGACAGGTTTGATGTTGGTTTTATTTTAAGCATAAAAAGGAGACTTCCGCTGAGCTGTTGACAAATACCCAAGTCAGCATAGCTGGTTATCTGTTCACAACCAGCACCCAAAGGCCTGGATCAGGCCTGGGCAGTTTGAAAAAAGAAGGGGAAACAGTTATGGAAGAGGGTGATGTTTGCCCACCCAAGGACTGGCTCTACCTACTGGGGATGCAGGTGGAGGCTGAGGCACAGGGGGCCGTCACCTGGCACCGATGCCCATGGAGTTTGACAGTCCCCATGCTGAAGGAGTGATGGAGTTAGGGAGTGATCCAGGCCAGCTTTGCATGGTGATGCCCCTCAAGGTGCCAGAAATCAGCCCCTCTGGGTACCTTGCTGACCTTGGGTCCTTGTCATTTGCTGTGATCTGTAGTACCCCAGCCACCCAGGGTAAGTGTGTTGGATATATTTCACATGTGAAGAAGTTGGAGTTCTAGTTCCACGACTGGCAGATGACCATACTGTTCCTGGAAGAGGGGTTAGTGCTGGGTATATCTCATTGGACACTCAAGGGAACATTTGGAGAGGCAAATTTGCTGCCTTCCAGCAGGAGGCTGAACTCAGAGCTGTAGTGAATTGTGGGCTGTCACCAGGCAGGTCTGCAGGAGCCGCAGACACCCTGAAGCCAGCAGCATCCTGGTTCTTTTATTCTCCACCATGTACCCAACCTCTCTTCCTCATCCTGCAGTCAGTTTATTGTTGAGTGTCTACTGGTTTCCCATATCAGAAAGGTCCCTGCACATGTGTGTGGGGAGGACAGGCGATCTAATGGTATCCAAAGTAAGTGTACTTAGGGACCCATGCCCTAAGTGTGGAGCTAAGCCATCCCATAGCTTCCAGTCCACTGGGGAACCAGCTCCTCTACTGTTCAGCCTTCTGTTTCCTGTGAGATGCTGGAGCCTGAGCCTGCTGCTCCAGTTCTGTGGAGGCCCTGCACCTGCGGCACTGGCTCCTGGGGCTCTTGACTAGCCTGATCCCAGATGCCTGGTCCCTAATTAGGCAGAGATAAGATCTGCTTCCTGCTCCTTCCCACAGCTAACTACACATGTAAGCTTGGGAGACTGCAGCTTGGTGGCCTACTTCTGTGTGAGCTCCTGGTGTGACCCCTGAACCTGGCTCTGTTCAGCTTTTGGCAGAGGATAGAACACAGCTGTTGGGGCTGTCCCTGGTGAAATGGTTGTTTCTGCCAGTAAGGAATCCCAGGACCCAGGGCAGACCTTCCCATCTTGCCTGCCCATCCTGAGTATAGGGAAGCACAGAGTGGTGAGGATTTAGGCTATAGATCCCTGAACTCTGGGTTCTCAGGGTAGGATGGAGACACAGGCAAGAGTGTGGTGACAAACCCGTGGGAGGGCTAGAGATGTGCGGCCCATCCAGGTCTAGGCAGAGGACATTAAGTTTTCAACAATGTCACATTTTTCAAATATCATATCCCGTGACCCATTTCCCTTCAAATGTGAAGAAAAGTTGAAGAAATTATACATGAACACTAACCCTGCGAACGCCTGCTCCTACCCATAGACTTCTCTACGCACACGTGAGGGTTAAGCAGCCCTAACGAAGACGTGTGGTTGCTCATTCTCTGCACTCACAGCCTCAATTCTCCAATGAGGCCACTTTCAGCTCTTTACATGGTTTTTCTCCTGGTAACTTCCTCTGTATTTCTAAGAACGTCTCTTTGCCTGCTGTTGGCTAATTTGGGGCAAACGTCGATTGGCTTTCTAGTCTGTATTTTTACAGTGAGTATGGTGGCCCGCTGGCCTGACCTTGAACCATGGCCCTTCCCCTTACGGGACATGTGGTCAGTTTTCTCATTTGGAAACAATTCTAAGCATTCAGGTGATTGAGTTGTCGGAAGGATTCGTACTCTGTGCTTAATGATGCATGAGCCCAGCAAGTGGTCAAAACTTCCTTTTTATGGTTATCAAGGAAAAGTTAGCTTCCCCGCCCCCTGACTGCCTCCTTCTTTAACTCTACGTGGATCATGCTTTTTTGTTGTGATCGTATGATATTTAGATCACTCTGTAAATACTGTTTCCCGCTAAGTCATGTCCCATCTCTTGTTTGCCCTTCCTTCCTTGTGCCACTCTGTTTTTCCAGGAGTTACTGCTTGCCTGGCTTTCCTCGTTTGCCAGGTGCCTCCTAACCTGCTCAATTCTCTTGATTTCTGACACCCTCAGTTTCCTCAGAGTTGCGTTACAGACAGCAGCTCGTTTATTGGTTTGTTTCCTTCTGAAATGCTTCAAGCGTTTTTCAACAATCTCTTCTCATCCCCTTTAAATTATGAAAAACAAGAATCTGTAAATAAACTGTAAGAGAAGAGTCAGTGAGAGTCTGCAGTATGCTGGGAGCTGAGCTGGGGACCAAGCAGATGGGAGCTAGACAGTGACATCCTTGTCTCTGCATTTCTGAATATGCGGCCCATGCCTCAGGCCTTTCATCCACGTGGAGTCCCAGGCCCTCAGGGAGCCCAAGTACACTCATGTAAAATGGGGATCATTTAGTCTCTTTGCAATCTTTCCCTGGCCATAGGCTTTGGGGCTATGCTCTGGGTGTTGTGTGTTAGGAGCCTCAGAGAGGATTTGCGAAAGACAGGAGGCTGTGATGACAGGAGGGCAGGAGGAGGCAGGGAATGGGCTCAGAGGAAATACCATGGGAGGAGGCAGGTTTGAGGGGCAGAGGTTATGCTGAGAACTCGGGTTTCTATGCTGAAAGGAGAGATCACCAACAGGGCTAGGCAGATCTGGGAAGCTGGAGCTATTTGGGCTGAGATATGAAGGATATGTAGGCTTAACAGGAAAAGGGACAAAAGTGGAAAGGATTTCAGGTGGCATGTGCAAGGGCCCTGTGGTTGGAGAAGTAGGAATAGAGAAGGTACGGGGGCTGGACCAGGAGCATCAGGGCTGGGTCATCTGGAGCCATGGGAGCCTTTGAATAATGTGAGGGCCTGAGGCAGCTGGGACTATAACCTCATGGTCTAACCGTGCTTGACAAGGCCTTCCTGACCTTGACCCCTGTTCCTCCTCCAAACTCCTTTGCCCCCCCACTGAAGCCACACTGCCTCCTTACTGTTCTAGGAGCACCCCAGGGCCTTTACACTTGCTATTTTCTTGCCACAACCCATTTTCTCTTTTGTTCAGCCTGCCCACTTCATCTCTTCAGAGAGCTGACCATGGTCAACCCCATAACTGGATGGTGCCAGATGAAGGAATGAGAGATAAAGTTCCAACTGGGTGACTAGGGCATTCTTTCCCCTTTTGGTTTGTTTCTCCAGTGTGCAGTGAGGGCAACTCTGGGCTGGGAAGCACAGCCCTGGCTGTGAGAGGCAGATTCTGTGGGGGAGGGAGGAGGCAGCTTTCTGCCTTGCCTCTGGAGTTTGAAAATAGCCCAGCACTTCCCCCTCTCAAAGCCCCTAACCTCCTGTGGTACCCTGTGGGAGTTAGGTGCCCCTGTCTGGAGCCTCCTGCCTGGCCCTTGGCTGGAGCCAGGTCACCAGACAGCTGGACCACAGTCCTGAGTTTCTGAGGGACAAACTGGTCTGTTGGAAGCCTCCACCCTCCTCCCTACCTAGCCCTCTTCCCTCAGTGTCCATTGGAGGTGGAATAATCCCTTAATTCTGCTCACACCTGCAGTCCTCCAGCTTGCAAAGCTTGGTCTCTGTCAGGGTCTGATTTTATTCCTGCACAGCGGCTGCTTCGCTGGTGGGGACACAGGTCTCAGAGAGGACGGCTGCCTGACTGAGGTGACATTCTGGGACAGAGCATGA